CCCCCCCAGTCCTCAGTCTCCTTTGAAAAGCTGAGATACAGCATCAGCCTAACTCATCTCAGGCGGCAGTGCTTTGGGAATAGGATCGTTATTATTGACTTTGTAGGACCAGAGAGGTTAAGTGACTTGTGGGAGTCACACAGCAACCAGAGTTCCACCCAGTTTCAAGATGATGAGCCTCCTGCCCTATCAACACCTCAGCTTGGAATCCAGGAGTCAGAGCAGGGCCTTGACTGGCCCAAGAAAACTGCCAGTCTGTGCCAGGCCTGGGCCAGATGCCCACATCTTCTCCTTCTCAGGCCCGGGGCCCACTGCCAGTCAGGCCAACCCTGTCTTGTTCCTGAAGGAGGCTTGGGTTGGCCCCATCCCAGGGGCACCTTGTTGACAGAGTACTTGGTGGAAGTCTGGCTCCGTCAGTGAGCAGTGGGTCCTGGGTGCCCTCTCTCTCCCAGACTACTTAGTAGGGCTGGGAGCCCCGATGTTTCCAACGCAATTTCTCCTGAGTCTTCTATGGCTCCCCCGACCGCACAGCTCAGGTCAGGTGGCTATGGCCACGTTCCACACTTTGCTTCTGGAGGGCAGGATAACGTGTTCCCGCTTGTGTCCCTGGAGCCCGAGTTGGTTGAGGTGCAGGATTTGGTGAATGGAAAGAACCCAGGTGGTGAGAACTGGCTGGGTCCCAGGCCCTGCCCTGGACGAGGCCTGGAAGAGCCTTGACCTTTCTGAGCCTCTGTCTCCATACCTGCCTCCTGGGTGCCACATGCTCCCTGCCCAAATGGTGGTGGGCACTGTCAACTGTCTGTGCATAGCCCCGAGCATGGAGCCTGGCACGGGCATTCGTCCCTGGCTGCTTGTGTGAACGACGCATATTTCGGAAGCTGCGCTTTCTTTTCTCGGCGAGACCTCCGTGCAAGCTGTGTCATCCTTCACAGCCAGATTTAATTAAGACTCACCTGGACGCCTCTCTCCCTGCCTCTAGCTGCTCCTCTGTGCAGAGAGCGTGTGTGCATGCGCGTGGATGCGTGCGCACACATGTTGATACGTGTGGACACAGCCTTCTCTGCCAGCACACCCTCCCAGCACACCCAGCTCAGCAGTCTGTCTCTCCTGCCGGAGCCCAGTTCCCATTGTGCATTCCAAGGCCTCGGAGGCGCAGGGCCCCGTCCAGACCTTAGTCTGACTCTCTCTCGGGGGCCAGAGGCAGCTCCGTCCTCCCCACAGCTATCTTAGCAAGCATCCCAGACGCCTCTGAGATGAAGTCGATGGGGAGGCGGCTGCAGGGAGCTTTGGAATCCTGCACTGGCCTCCGTGGCAATGGGCCAGGGCCCAACCCGGGTCTCCCTGGGGCTTCGAGCCTCACCTCCTGATCTCCAGGGTCAGCAGCCCATAGTTGTTGGTGATTCGGTACTTTCCGGCAGGGAAGAGGCGGGGATCGATTTGCATGTCGTCTTTGAACCTGTGGAGACACAGTGGTCTGTGGCAGGCTGCGTGGCTCCGGGCGGGAAGGAGCCGAAGCGTCTGGGGCCTGGCTTCCTGCCTCAGCTTTGGGCCGCTTGCTTGCTGACGTGGCCCAGAGTGGCCCCTCTGCTGCTCCCAACCTCAAATGTCTTTCTCTGTGAAATGGGAGTAATAATAGCACCAACCTCACAGGCTTGCCCTGAGAGTGAAATGGGATGAGGGAGACTCAGGGTCTCATTCCCTTTTGGGGAGACAGAGAAGGAGCCTGTGATTGGGGGTAGTTGCCTTTTCTACTGGGGTACCCCCAGCCCAGGGTCTGGGCCCCAGCTTTTCTCTCCTCCTGTGGAGGGTATTCTCGTCTCCCTTGGGCTCTCAGTAGCATCAGCTGAGGAACCTTTGAAAATCTGTCCTGTTCTAGGCAGAAGCCTCTGGGACTGTGCATTAAAAATTGCTCACTGGGGGGC